CCAGCGATAAGGCGATGATCTCCTGAACAACTTTGTCCGAGACAGTAACTTTCTATCTGGTCAGGATCTCGATATATTCCATGTTGTAATAAATTAAGTCAAATCCCACGTAGTTTTTATTTATTTATTTATTTATTTATTTATTTATTTATTTATTTATTTATTTATTTATTTATTCATTTATTTATTTTTTTATTTATTTATTTATTTATTTATTTATTTATTTATTGATTTATTTATTTAATTATTTATTTATTTATTTATTTATTTATTTATTTATTTATTTATTTATTTATTTATTTATTTATTTATTTATTTATTTATTTATTTATTTATTTATTTATTTGTTTATTTATTTATTTATTGATTTATTTATTTATTTATTTATTTATTTATTTATTTATTTATTTATTTATTTATTTATTTATTTATTTATTTATTTATTTATTTATTTATTTATTTATTTATTTATTTATTAAATTATTTATTTATTTATTTATTTATTTATTTATTTATTTATTTATTTATTTATTTATTTATTTATTTATTTATTTATTTATTTATTTATTTATTTATTTATTTATTTATTTATTTATTTATTTATTTATTTATTTATTCAACAAAGAATGTAAAATCCACGCTTCTCTCAACAAGATTTGAAACAGCCTGTTTCAAATATTTCCTCCCGTAACAAAATTTTTCGAAATCGTTGTAAGTATTGATATTCTTTAATACATTCATCACTAAGGTTTCATAACCTGTTATTTTCAAATCATTATCTGTAACTGAACAAATTAAATCAAAATTGGATAATCAAGATCAATTGAAGTTCTTCTGTGCCTGGGAATACGTGTATATTCATATACCGTTAGTTTCAAATTGAAAAAAAAAAATCAGCAGAACGCTTCAAATGATGCGACTTATATCAATCACGCCAAGTAATTCAAAAATTACCAGCCAATACATTTTAATTTACTAGAATCTAGGAATATCTCAATCCAGTTCTCTAAAACTTCAACAAAACGCTGGTCACTAGAACTGGAAGAATGTTACAAAACACCATAATTACCCATCTTTATGCCCAAGAACCAGTTACCGTAAATATCTTCGTTGAGATGAAGATTTAATTAAACTGATTCTTTGACATAAATGGGAGCACAATATCCCGGGATACTACACTGATCAAATGCTTCAATTTCTACATTCTAAAAGTGGACGTTTTTCTTCAAAAATCTGATGTAATAATGCTACTTATGCAATATTCAAATACAAATAATCGAATAGATTCACATTCCTTCTGGCACTAGGTTGCTATTTATTGAAACGTAAGCTGCTTTTTTCTGATCAAAAAGTCTCTTACAAATCAAACATTCAGAGCTCTTTATTCATTTTCAAACAATTAACACATTTCAACACAGTTGACGGTACACTCTAACGTTTTGTGTTGTTGGCTGCACCTAGAGCACCTCTCACAATTCTTGCAATCCGTGCTCTAGTGCTTAAATTCTTCACATTTGAAGCATCTTAACTCCAATATTTACTTTTTTTTCGCACACAACAAACATTTATACGTATCTATATTGACTTCATTCACAACACTAAACTTGATGGTTTTTCAAACATGTTAACAACTTTTACATCATTTATGGTGAAGTCTTTATTTTCACTTTTATGCAGTCAATGAAAACATCGGAGGAATACTGATCGCTCATGCCCACTATATTCAATCTTGGCACCCAAGTGGGAGTAGAAGATGACATGTGGATCTTTCGCAGACTATGAGGCTGGTGACGTGTGACCATGGATCGAGTAGAGTGGAGATAATTGTTAACTTCGACAGCGGAGGACATCAAGGCCTTACAGTGCACATAGGGATATCAAGTTCACTTGTGAACAAGAGAAGGATGGAGTGTTACCATTCTTGGATGTTCTAATTATTAGGGACTCTACTTCACTGGCATTTGAAATCTACCGAAAACTGATAAATACAAGACGAGTTATACCAAACACTTTTAAGTAAAATTGTAAAACGGTCTACACTGATTGACGACAAATAAATAAATAAATAAATAACCAAGTCATTACAACATAAGCTGAGAAAATTTGGCATTGACATTGTTTTCAACAGCATAGACAACCAACTAAAGACGAGCTTAGAAAACACTTAAGACCCAGTTAACGATTTGGAAAAAGCAGGAATTTACAAAATATCCTGTTCCCAGGGTGACAAAATATACATAGGGCAGACAGAAAGAACTTAATACACAAGATTTAAAGAACATTTAGCAGAAGTTGACAAAAGTTACTAAAGACACGGAAAAAGGTATTCATTATCATTTCAAATCCAAAAGAGCTGAACATGTATCAATTGACAAAGGAGGACATAACAATTGTACGACATATTACAAACCCGTGGAAACTTTAGCCACGTTAAGTTAAAGATTGTAAAAATTAAATTTAAATTAAATTAAATTTTAAATTAGAAACATTGGTTCCATATTGTAGCTTAGGGTATTTCCGTTGAAATTGTATATAGTTTTTATGTAGTATGTGTTATATATTTTACAAACATATTAAAAAAAAACAATTTTCGTGTTTTTCACCTGTTTGAAAAAGCACTCAAACGATCACTTATGAAATGTATTTTCGGTATAGCCATCACAAATTCAATGTGGTATTTTTATTGCATATGATGTTTTCTGATTATATACTCATTCAAAGTTTCATATTCAAAGAACTAAATTGTTTGAGTTTCAACCATATTGTTCTACATTCATCGAGCATTATCAATTTAAAAATATAAAATTTGAAAAACATTCATTGCCCGTTTTACGGTGCCTCAATAAACAAAACACGCGTACCTGCACTATATACTACTGATTACCTATACACTGATTACCTGATGAACTCTTCATATGTAAGGAATAATAAGGAATAGAAACAATGCTTTTTCTTCAAGTCTTGACTAGTACACAGCAAAAAATAAATTTTAATATTACATCCAACAGGTTGCACTTCAATCATGTCGAAAATCTCATGTAATTTTTATGGGCACAAAAATAAATAAATGCAGTAAAAGCAGTGTAATCTCAGTTCATGCACTGAATTAATGATAATTTTGTCCTTTTTGGCAAGTAATATTACACAATATTTTTGAGACGATTAAAGTGCATCCACTTTGATGTGATATCAAAATTATTTTTTTGCTGTGTAGCAAACGAAATAGTATCTGTTATAGTTCAAAGTGATAGTGAAAGTAAAGAGTGAAAGTGAATTAGTGAAAGTGAAAGTGATACAAAAGTAGTAGAATTAAATGAAAAATCGACGTAAAAGGGTTAAATGTCATTATGTACCGAAAAAATGGTAACTTCTGATAATTGAAAAGAAAGAATGAGAAAATGCACAAATTTTTCTCATATTGTAGGAACCTCATAGAATGTGTAAAAATATAAAATGGTTGGGTTTAACTAAATTTCGCTGCACTAAAACATTTGATTAGCTATGACCATCAAAAATCTCATCAAGGCTACCTCTAAATCAGATTTTTCAAAGTTGCCACCATACAAACGTTTTTTTTTTTGTAACATCCATGGCTATCATTTGGGTGGTGAGTCTCCTGCTTTCTAGACATAGTGTTATTTTGGGTCACCTTAATATTCATCCTTCACGTCATAGATGGACTCCGACATATGTTCAATTAGGTTTTTTTTCTTTGGTGAAATCCTTTGAATTTCATTGGATGTCCAATAATGATATTGCTTTGAATAATCCAATGAAAAATGTGTGTCAATGATTTTTATAAGACCATAATTTAAGTTACATTACACAGTGTCATATTTTCCCGGGAAATTGGCCCACTTATTCGCATTTTGTAATATTGTGACGCCGCAACGCGACGCAACATATTCAAAATATTATTGTTATTTTTACGTTTATCGCATTGCTCACATCGCATGTCACGTCTACTCTGACGGTGGCCTTACACAGTTAGATTTTTTGCCGAGATTGGCACCACCGAGCAGACTCGGCATTTATTTTTACTGAGATCTCAGCAAAATTTATGTTTGTTAGCCGAGATCTCGGCAAAATTCTCGTTTGTTAACTGAATATCGGCAAATTTTTCACTGAGATCCAGCAAAATATATTGCCGAGCTACTCGGTGGTGCCCATGTCGGCAAAAAAAATTTAGGTGTCTAGGATAACATACGGTGGGTTGCAAAGCTTTATAATATTCATATATGAGCTTCATGATTGTTTTGCATCTAAAACGGAACGGATAAGTCTGCCATGTTGTTATTTACTAATCAATTATGGAAAATGCAGTTTGTAGCCGGACATCATGAGTAACATTCGAAAAAAGTCTAAATTAATGTAAAAATAATTGTTTGCTTTTGAAATTCGCAATAACATGAGAACACATTTTTTTTTTTTTTTTTCCTTTGGTTTGTTTTTTCCGTCGATCTTGTTTTCCGTGCTGAGCACCAATGCTACCGACGTGCCAGGAAGGCAGCTCCCACACCTGGACCCTACCTATCGACCCATCAACTCATGAACCGGGGACCAACGGCTTTACTTCCCATCCGAAGGAAGGCGTGATCAGAGATGTTATGCCTCAGAACATCCCGGCGGCGCCGACTTTGATTGAACCCAGGCCTGCTGGGGTGAGAGGTAATCACGCTTACCACTACACCACCGGCGCCGTTTGAGAACACAGTTGTTAATCGAGAGCTTTTTAAGCGTGTACCATTATCATTGTGTGGCAAGGACAATCATTCTCTATACCCAGGAAAATCGAGTAATTTTCCAATCCGGAGATCGAACCCTGCAGCCTCCAGCATTGTCTTGCTTTATAGATGCGCCTTAAATGGCTGGCCCATTTTTCTTAATACGCCCTTTTAGAAACTTAGTATCAAAGGTGGTCATATTTTATTGCAAAATTTAATCTTAAGTAGCAACCAACACAATATGCAATGTTTCATTCAAATCGGGAAGAGTCAAAACTTGATTTTTGTTGCGTTTTGAGCTGGAAACCCTAATAAACGGGTACCACACAATAACGATATCATAGATGAACATACCACATAAAGTTGGGATGATATCCCGAATTGGTGGTTAGGTGCTTCATATGGTTATTGTTTATGCGGGAATGCTCAACGGTTTTAGTGACGCTATTGTTCACACATGACGCTCTGTATTATATTTGACTTTAATTTTATTTAGCTTGTTTCATTCAGGCACGATTTTATCCCTCATAATAGACTCATAAATTTTTAAAGTATTATGTTCATAAAAAAAACTGCAATAGAGATACTGACTCAAATTACTCTTAAATATAAGATGCATCTAAGTACATTAAAAACATTATTACATTGAACAGTTTTAAAATTACACAATCCCATTTAGGACTGATGTTTATCTTAAACCTTAGTCCTCTTTTTTAATACAGAAAAAACTGGCCAGCCTAGTTTTCTTATTTTTCTCCTTCTTCTTTTTCCTTGTGCATTTATTGCAACGTTCAGAGTTGTCCTGAATCAATAGCTCTGTGGTTGCTTCAGTGCTGTCTTCCGATAATTGATAAGAAACCGTTGCCATAGGACGAAGTTGTGGGTAGTCCGGTGAGTCGTCTGTATTAGGGGCTGAGTCTGGGCTTAACTTATCGCTGCTATTTTCTTCCTGCTCTAGCTGCGAATCCGGAGCGTACAATAAGGCACGTTTTGCCCTTGGTGCAGTAGATGTATTAGGATTAGATGTTAAATTTGAAGCCAGCATGCCAGCGAAGCTTTCGTCACTATGAAGGGTAATGTTGTTGAAAGAGATATTCACTGTTGGGCTGGTCTGAGTGGTAACTGATGCGAACACCCTGTTTAATGATGTCTGACTGCTGTACCGTAAGTAGTTTGCCAGAACGAGCTGTCTATCAAGTTCCTTTTCAGAATCACGCTCACGTTGACGTTCCTTTTCTCGTTTTGAATGTTCCAAACGCATGTTCTCGATTTTTCGCTTCAAGCCTTCTATCTTGGCGATATCATCTTTCCGCAGCATTTCACTGAACTCAAGATGTCGCTGCAAGTTACTTACCTCATCAGCTGTCTCCTTCAACATTCCTCTGAGAACATTGGCATCCTGCTCTTTTTCAATTTCAGTATTCTAAAAGAGAGAAGACGTTTTTCGTGAGGCGATGGTCCTGTAAACGTGAATCACTCTATATTAAACATACCTCTTGTAACACAGTTTCCATGGTCGATACCGGCATGGACTTGTGCCGAACAAATGAATGATGAGTATGTTGACTGAGCGTCTCATCGATGTACTGTTTTACCTTACTTTTAACGTGTCCATACTTTTGGTGTCTTGAGATACCAGTTCGATTCTGAGGTCCACTAGTATTCAATAGATTGCCTTCAGATTTGGATCTTTTTTGAGTGCCAGATGACGAAGGACTGGATGCAGATTTGCCAACAGATTTTTTGGCATTTTGGTTTAAACTCATACGCTTGTTCGACACTGGATGGTACTTAATAAATAGATTGCTTGAGTTACTAGAACCACTGCCATTCTCATTTTCGGTTGACAAACTGTAGTTTTCACTTGATGAGTTGGTTTGCGATGTAGTGACAGAAGACCGAGAACCTGTATAAATGATTATTTGAGGAAATATTTTTGACTATTACATTAGACAGTAGTAAATCATAATTGTTGTTAATGAACTTTTTCGCAATCGAAATAACATTGATGTTTTAACAACACAGAATGGACTGCAACCGGTACGAAGCTGTGTACATCAGACGGATCACACCGCGTCTACTTTGTTAAATCACTTACCTAAGGCGGTGACGTTGTTCACCGGGACAAGTATCCGCGGTGGACTTATCGGGATATCGTTGTCCAATTCATCGAATTCCATCAGGAGACTTCCTGGGAATGTTTCATCATTCAATATTTGGAAGGAAGTTTCGGGCATCATTTTCATCACTTATTGAACACAACTGTCTAGTGAAAAGAGCACAAAACAATCTCTCCCAGCTTTCGTTGGCCGACAACTGTGGGATTGTTCCTAGACCAAAGGCTTGAATATAATTTCAAAAGGCTATACATCTGTTACAAAATGTCAGTGGTAAGTGGTAAAAATGAACACAATGTAAATTATAGATACTCATGTGATAGATGAGCGGATGTCAGCTAATGTATCAAATCGTATTTATTGATTAAATTTCTGCATCAACAGGTTCGTGGCCCTTATGGTTAGTTAACAGTACTGTCATATACATAATTAAAAATATACTTAAATCTAAAAACTACTCGTTTGTTCCACAAGAAAATAGAGCGGCACATTTTCGTCGCATTAACTCACGTGACATATTAAAGTCAAACACAGATGCAACTCTGTTGAATAATCTTTGAAGATCGATGATAGCGCTATGCATGCCGTTGTTAGTTCTAATAAGTGGCAAGCGAATCATCTGTTTGTTTCGGAAGGACCTAGGCTGCACATTGATGTTAATTTGTTCCAATACAGATGGGCAATTAACTCGATTCTGCAGAACGTCAGCAGCAAACATAACTCTTAGAGTGTCACGACGAGTATTGAGAGGTCAACGTTCCAGGCAGGCGTTGAACCAACTCTTTTATCTTTTACTTTATAACTTTTTATATGTTCTAAATTCAAAATTGTCAGTATAACAATTGACACATTAAAACTAAAAACTAAAAATAATTTTTTTCTAAGCATATTGCGAATTAATCGTTACAATTGAGGATAGCAACGATTTTTGCCTGAAATTATTAATTATTTTGTTGGACATTTGTTCTAAAGTCTCAACATTCGAAATTATATCTACCTCGGTAGTACTGTACCAGGGAGACAACTTCAAAATCATCTTCAGAACTTTGTTCTGAATCCTTTGAAGTGCTTTTTTCCTGGTAGTGCAACAACTAGACCATATTGGCACAGCGTAAAGCATGGCCGGTCTAAAAACTTGTTTATATATTAGAATTTTGTTCGTCAGGCAAAGTTTGGATTTCCTGTTTATAAGAGGATTCAAACATTTTATATATTTGTTACATTTGGCTTGAATGTCCTCAATATGATCTTTAAAAGTTAAATTTTGGTCTATTACTAATCCACGATATTTCATTGGTTTGACCAGGAAATTGGAACTCCGTTCATAGTGACTATGTGACTACTACTAGGTTTCAAAAGCTCTAGCCTTATGTGAAAATATTATATGTTGAGTTTTGGAAACGTTGGGAGAAATCTTCCATTTTTGTACATAAGAAGAGAAAATATCTAAACTTTTCTGCAGTCTGCTGCAAATAACACGAAGACTTCTTCCTTAAGCGGAAATACCTGTGTCATCAGCGGACAAAGATTTGTGGCAACCCTGAGGCAAATCAGGGAGGTCTGAAGTGAAAATGTTATACAATGTAGGCCCAAGAATGCTACTGTGTAACAGCGCCGGTGGTGTAGTGGTAAGCGTGATTACCTCTCACCCCAGTAGGCCTGGGTTCAATCCCAGTCGGCGCCGCCGGGATGTTCTGAGGCATAACATCGCTGATCACGCCTTCCTTCGGAAGGGAAGTAAAGCCGTTGGTCCCGGTTCATGAGTTGATGGGTCGATAGGTAGGGTCCAGGTGTGGGAGCTGCCTCCCTGGCGTCGGTAGCATTGGTGCTCAGCACGGAAAACAAGATCGACGGAAAAAACAAACCAAAGGGAAAAAAAAGAATGCTACCGTGAGGAACTCCTGCTTTAACATGTAGTCGATTAGATTTGGAATTTTGATAATTTACCTGCAGACTTCTGTTAGTTAAATAATTTTGAACTAATTTCATAATAAAAAGTGTAAAATTAAACTTTTTCAATTTACCATTTACCAATTCATGCCAAACACTGTCAAATGCTTTTTATATGTCTAGAAGACCAACTCCAGTTGAGCAGCCTTCAGATTTGTCTGAAAAAATTAAATAGGTAACTCTTGAGAGTTGATGAGTAGTTGAATGCCCGTGGCAAAATCCAAACTGCCCATATGCAAAAATTGAGTTTATATTGATGTGAAGCATCATTCTACTACAAATTATCTTTTCAAAAAGTTTACTTATTGAAGAAAGAAAACTTATTGGACGGCAGCTAGAATCTTCAGCTGGATTTGTATCTGGCTTCAAAATTGGAACAACTTTTGCATTTTTTCATTTATCATGAAAGTATGCCAAATGAAAATATCTGTTAAAAATTTTTACCAAGAAATACAAGGTACTCTCTGGGAGTTTTTTTGATGATGATATAGAACATTCGGTTATCATCTGGAGCTTTCATATTATGAAATTATTTAGTAATAGATCTTACTTCGTCCAAACCAGTCCCCCAGGAATCATCAATAATATTTTCCCGAGAGAAAATATTCAGATAATCCCGAGCAACCTGATTCTCAATAGGACTAGTAAGACCCAAACTGAAATTGTGGGAACTCTCAAATTGCTTAGCAAGTTTCGGAGCTTTTTGCAAATTTGTGATCAAAATTGTACCACCTTCTTTAAGCGCTGGAATATGATTTAGCGGTTTTTTCAAAATTTTTGAGTTTCCAAAAAGGTTTGGACTCGGGTCTAATTTCAAAAGCTTTGTTCCTCAGGGCAGAGAATCGCTTTTTAATTTGTTTTTTTCAAATCCAGTCATATAATTTGTTTTGTAAGGATCGTGTGTTCTTTTATATTGCCTCCTACGGCCATTTTTAGACGGTTCAAGAGCAGAAGATCGTCGTCTATTATAATTGAATCGAATTTAACGTCGTATTTTGGCACTGAGGCAGCTCTTGCTTCAACGAAAGAAGTAGTCAGAGATTCAAGAGCATAACTAAAATCATCGTTGGTTTGCAAAGGAATATCTGTATCAAAGTTATATTTCATAAATGTTCGATGTTGCTCCCAATAAGCTCTGTGGTAATTAAAGTAGAGCTGTTGGGATTAAAAAATATTTCTTGGGATATTTCAAAAGTTAATGGAAGGTGATCAGAACCGAAGTCAGCATGGGTGACCAATTGGCTACAAAGTTGACATAAATCTGTTAAGACCAAATCAATAGTTGACGGATTTATTGCTGAAGAAAATCATGTTGGGCTGTTTGGATATTCAATAGTGTAATAACTTGCAGAACAATCATCAAACATAATATTACCAACAATCAATACGAAACTAACGGTTTTAAATTGGCTCACTACTTGACTAGCCCATTGGTCCCAAGCAAAGAATTTTTTGTTTTGAAATTACTTTATTTGTACAGGCTCAATCGAATAAACTTTACAGAGCCAAGTTATCCTTTGCGTTATACATTATTACTGTCTTATATTTAAAGTTAAAGGAGCTGGACCGCTTACTCGCGGTCGTCTCCAGGTTAGTGGAGATTTACAATTTTTTGGATGGGAAAAAGGAAGAAGGAGGTTTTAAATGTGGTTTACGATACAACTATTTAATTAATCCTAAAGCATGACATTATTTCTATTCATCTTGAAAACAAACATTGAAAAAAAAAACCCCAGACGTACAAAACACAAACTAAACACAAGGTTAATCAAACTTACAATCTAAGGTTAATATCCTTAAAGTAAACATATATGAGTTTCATAAACTCCAGATCGCGTCTAGCCAAAATATCCCGAACTGGAACATTAGGTTGTCTACCTCGAGCCCGAAGGGAATCATAAAAATGTGATCTGACTCCACGATACTCAGCACAAGACCAAAGGATGTGATCAGCGTCCTGGTAACCTTGTCCACATTCACAGAGATTGCTGTCTCCCAACTTCACACGAAACAAGTGAGCGTTTAGACAATAGTGATTGGACATGAGACGAGACATCACGCGTATGAAGTCTCGACTCAAGTCCAACCCTTTGAACCATGCAAACTTCGACACCTTAGGGATAATTGAATGTAGCCATCGTCCCAAGCTCCCTTCACTCCAATAGAGAAAAATTCACTATAGGCGATCTGTCGATCATAAATGTCGCCTTCCATAGCGCCCACCTTCGCAAGTGAATCCGCCTTCTCATTGCCCAAAATTGAGCAATGCGAAGGGACCCACGCGAAGGTGATGATGAAAGAGCGCACGGATAAAGCTCTAAGCAGTTCTCGTATTTTCAAGAGAAAATACGAGAAGTGCCTTACCGGCCTAATGGAACGGATAGCCTCGACAGAACTGAGGCTATCCGTAAAAATAAAGTAGTGGTCTGGAAGAAGTGAAGCAATAGTTTCCAAAGTGTAGTGAATTGCTGCCAGTTCAGCCACATACACAGAACAAGGAGCTTCAAGTTTTCGAGAGGCGCTATGAAATTCATTAAATACACCAAAACCAGCGGACTCCTCTATTAGAGATCCATCTGTGAAAAACGCTCTTGCAGAATCAACATGGCCAAACTTTGCAGCGTATAATGACGGAGCAATCATAAGACGATGATGCTCTGGAATTCCGCGGATTTCCTGCGTCATAGATAAATCAAAATTCACTGAATTGCCGAAATCGGAGAAGGCTACACGATTAGGAATATTTATTAAAGGGCTGACATCCTGTGTTAAATATAGGTAGTACAAAGTTATAAAACATGTTTGAAGATTTAGCTCCAGAAGCTTCTCAAAATTTTTGATCACCAGTGGGTTCATTACTTCGCAACGGGTGAGGAGCCTCAAAGATAACTCTGAAAAACGGACGGATAGTGGCAACATGCCCGCCAGCACTTCGAGACTCATAGTATGAGTCGAGTGCATGCATCCTAACGCGATACGAAGGCAACGATACTGGATCCGTTTCAGCTTGATGATGTGCGTTTTAGCTGCCGACTGGAAGCAAAAACTACCGTACTCTAAAACCGAAATCGTTGTCCGGTACTGATCCTGTGGTTGGGCTCCCCACCACGTTCCGGTAATTGATCGAATGAAATTGATCCTTAGTTGGCATTTTCGTCTCAGATACTCAATGTGGGATCTCCAGGTGCATTTGGAGTCGAACCAGACCCCGAGATATTTAAAAGACATGGAATGAGTGATCGGTTTAC